TGAAGTTTATTATACATTTAGGGAAGAAAATAATGAATACATCCTAGAGAATGATAGTAGTGATAAACAAACATAGACTTTTTTTATTATATATATGTATGTATGCAGTATTTTTTTTTGGCACTGTAGGTGACATTTAAAGGTAATACTATTTTTTTTTTGAACTTTTACTAAGAAAGTATTATTATTATTATTATTTTTTACAATGAATTTCTTTCCAAGAGTTTGTAAGAGCGACAAGATAATCAATGTTGTTGCTTAGGATACTCAGGCAATGAATGCTAGTTAGAGGCCCACCAGGAAAAATCACTCATAGCCAGTTGGTTCATCGAGTACCATTATTGGTGAGACCTCTCAACTTGATTCCTAATCGTACATGGCCACAAGGAGACATGTGTTGATGACTATTGCACAAACTCTAGGCCCCTTGCCTCCCCAACTAAAAAGGGTTAGAGGAATTGCGAAAGGACAAAAAATGTTAGAAGATCTTGCTAAGAAGTTGAGTCTTGGGAATTGGGACAAGAAGATATTACATCCCTATGAGTCTTGGGAACTAGGACAATTGGCTCAAATACTCCAAGCGGAGGTGAATTAGAGTCTCTAAATTTTCTTCCTTGCAACCACAAAATAAAATAAATAAGAGAAAGGAAGAAAAACTTGCACAAAGGATTCTACAGAGGTTTAGTCCAACCATTTGGCACCTAATCCTTAGCTTCATTCACCAAAAATTTCCTCCCCGTACATTCTCCACTAAAATGAACAAAGGTGGCTTGAAGGAGTTATTCAATCCTTTTGCAAATGATGAGTTTTTTTTTCACAAATCTCATCCCTTTACAATATATCCCAACAATCCTCACTATAATATCACTCTTGAATGAATAGAAAACACCCTCAAAATGTTGCTTACAGAATTAGAATAGAAGACTAATTACAAGAGAAGATCACTCAATGATCAAATATGCAAGTGAAAGTATAAGAAATTGAATGTTTGCAAGAGAAAGGTCAAGATGGTTATTAGAATTCTTCAATGAAGTGTCTAAGAGCTTTATAAATGTGTTAACCAACCTTATTTATCTTCCTCAAGAAGGGTTTTTCAAAGTATGGTTATGCCCACACACTAATTTATTCAATACAAAAAAATTGTCTTTTGCGAGACTTAATTTCCAATGTTAGAGTATTCTGTCGAGATGTTTTGAGCAAAGTTTAGATATTTGTAAGACTAAAGTCTAGAAATTCTAGCACTAATATTAACACTTTGGTCAATGTAGAAATAGTTTCTGCAAAGTTCTTTGTTGCAATGGTTTATGTTGGAAAAGGTCATTTTTTGACATCGCAATTGATATATATATATATATATATATAGTGGTTGTGACCAAATAAAATTATTATTGTTGTATTTGAAAATATCGATTCTATTTGGTTTAAACATTAAAAATAGTTAATAACTATAGTTATTAACTAATAATTGATAAAATAGTTAATATTTATTAGTTAACAGTTTAAAATTAATCTAAAAACTAATGTTTCTAAACACCATAACTAATTATTTAAAGTAAAAAAAGTTAAAATTCACACTACAAGAATTCACTGTGTCACCAACGAGAAATCATGTCAGTAAAAGAGGGAATCTGGTCGGTGAAACAAGCTTCCCACTTGGATCACATCGGTAATGGCTTTGTCGGTGAAACTGAGCTTGGTAATTCATTCACCGACGTAGATGAAAATAACGTCGGTAAACTCACTCTTCATTACCGACAAGAAACATCTTGCAAAGAAAGAACCGGAACAATTCATCGGAAAACATCTCTGGTTTCCATGTCGGTAAATTACCGACAAGGATAGCGTCTGAAGATAGAGGAGGGCCTCGAGCTCTGAGCTGATCATTGATGAACATCACGTCTGCCAATACAAGAAAACGCTTCGCAATTTGGGCCATGTCAGTAAATCACCGACAAAGACCACGTCTGAAGTACACAAAGATCTTCTCTGACAGGTTGAAAATCATCTCCAAAATTTAAAAGTTAGCGACAAGATTTGAGTCAACAATTTTAGGTGCCATTTTTTTTTTCTCCTAGTTACCGATGAGAATAACATTGGTAAATAACTCTGGAAAAAAAAAATTATTGAATTCAACTCATATTGAAATTAATATATATATATATATATATATGTATTGTTTAATTAAATTAATTTACAATTAAACATTAAGTAATTTGTAATATTTAATATCATAAAAAATAAATATAATATGAAAATTTTACAATAAAATCAGAAAATTATTTATTTATTTATTTAAATTAAAGATGAAAACATAACTTAAAAAAGAAAAATAAAATGACAAAGTTAAAATACAACTAGATAACCTAAAAAATTAATTAAAAATTACCTCAATAGATGAAGATTTGCAAAACACCATTTCCTAAGAAAATAAAAAAACATAAATTAGGTTAGTATTTATCTATAATTAATTTCAACCCTAATAGCTCTAATGGCTTATATAAATAAAATTGAATGTTAATTTTCACAAAGAAAATTTACTTACCCCAATGATTATCTCCTAATGTTTCCTGGAAAACAAATTAAAAATGAAAATAAATTGATGAATAACACAAATTAGTATTTAATCAAATAGGGAGAAACAATGAAAGAGAAAATTAAAAGAGAGGAGATTGAAAAAATATAAACCTAAAATTATATCAATAATGTAATTATAAACATAAACAATTAATCCAGCCGCATTGAATGGAAGAAAAAGAGGAGGCAATAGCCGGAGGAGAAGAAAAAGAAGAAGAAGAAGAAGAATAAGAAGGAAGACAAGAAGAAATAAGCGAGGTAGAGTGGTGGGGCGGGGGTATATATAAGCTAACTTACCCATGTGTGTTTAGTCGGTATTGTTTTCACCAACAAAGATCACATGGGTAAGTGACCAGGAGCGGGAATCCTAAAACAAAAAAACTTGCAATCTACAACCAAATTACTGACTAGCTTCCTGTTGGTATTAATTGGCAACTTTACCGACAAGATGCGAGTGGGAACTTGATTTTATCGACTAGGAATACATTGCTAGTATGGCAAGTAAAAATTCCACAGCTTCCTCTCCAGATTTCATCCATTTTGCCTAAGTTCCTTTCGAAATTTTGTTTTCATGCTATTTTCTGAATTTATCTAATAGATTTCTTACATTTTAGTGGACATAAATTTTTAAAAAAATTATCAAAATTCCCTTGTATATATGATAAAAGGTATTTTTTTTTTTAAATTTGCATTTGCAATACTACAACTTTGTTATAAAAAATGCAATAATTTGAAATTATTCAATAGATTTTTTGCAATTTGGTCATTTTAGTTGGTATAAATTCTAAAAAAAATTTGACAGAGTTTCCCCATACATATGATCAAAACCAATTTTTTTACCTGCATTTGCAATGAGAAACACATATATTCTACAAGTGCAGCATGCTAAAAACAATTATACCTTTTCAACCATAAACATAACCATAACCACAACCACAACTACAACCACAACCACAAAGTATATATGGCAATCACACACCATTGTCTTAAATACCCACAATATTTAGTTAATAATAATTAACCTCCAAAGTAGTCCAAAACTTCATACCTTTTGAAGTATGATCACTGGAAGTCAAGCAAAATAAGAAAAGATATCATAATGAAAAGCTAAAGCTAACAGTTTAAAGTACTAACATAAATAAAGCCAACCATGCAAAGTGTGCAGATAATGTGCGTAGCAAAAAAATAAAAAACCTAAGGACCCTGATAGTCTGGATCAAATGCAGGATGGTATGCATCATCATCTTGAGGCGAAAATTGCCATTGTTGCTAATATTCAGGAATCGTAGGAGAGGCTTGTGTAGAATCAGTGGAGTAGGTGAAAGCTGAATTCATGCGAAGAGCTGAGCCAGGACCATGTGACGGTTGTGGTGGGGCAACTGGATGATGACCTACTTGAGGGGAGATGCCATGAGCAGCTAGAGTTGCTACAACAAACTGTGCAATTGTCTGGCTCATATTATTCTGAGCTTGTGTCATATTGGCCAACTGTTGTTGCATCAGAGCAATTTGTTGGCATTGTCTTTCTAACTCCTCATGATGTTTTGCTTGTGCCTCCTCATAGTCAAACACCATCAATGGTGCTATTAAGTTTTCTCGGGGTTGTCTCTTCCTGTAAGTAAAACCAACCATCTTTTGATTTACTTGGGAGCCAATCCCTGGCATGAAATTAGATGAGCAACCTCCAACAGCCTTAACCCATGCCTCGTTATCCATGCGTGGCCACGAACTAGCATCAGAGCCATGACTCTCTATGCACTCCACAACATAAGTATCCTGAAAAAATAATAGTAATAGTAATAATGTTGTCAAAAGTAGTTTGAAAAGAATCTATAAAAAAAAGTAGACTTTGCTAAATAATTTAGATTAATTACATAAATTTTTTTGACACTTATAACTATACATTTTATGCTAATTTATATGTTAATTATATTTACATATTGATACTTTGCTTTTTCATTGATCCATGTTAGCTCTTGATCCTTTCTCGTTTTTTTTTTTCTGAAGGTGTGTGTCTCCTTGAATTATTCCTGATGGGGAGGTTGCACATCACCTTTAGACTCAATCTATATTTCAAAATATTGATAATACAATATATTGGTTAGCATAAATTGACACAATTTATTGTTAAATAAAATTTAATATATTAAATTTTTTATTAATTAAGCTTGATTACCATCCGCATCTCATGGATGCCAAAGCTAATG